TCTCTCTGTCTTCCTTTGGGGCATTCCTGGGGACAAAGTACATGATTATTTGTTAATTTGTGAACAAGTTTTACCACCAAATGAGTGAAAGAAATTTCAGTGTGTATAATAATTTTCCTTTAGCAAAAAGTTTCAAACTCCTGAAAAGAGCATGACTTTAAAGTACTGCATATCTCAATGACTATCTGTGCAGTCCTATTCAAGCACCTCAGTTGGGGTTAATAACAGAATCTATTCCTTGGACTGCAGTAGGGTATGGTGTGTGTAGAGGCACTGCTGATGTGGTTATTGGCCAAGTGAGGTATTTCTAGTCTCCACTGAACATAGACTTTTGGCACAATGTGTTGCTTCACTTCACGTTCTTGTAAACAGATTTATTTTTCTGAGGCAAAAATGGCACATTTGAGGTTCATTGAAAAATTGACACATAATGCTGTTATTAATTAATTGCACAAATTAAAGTAAATATCAGTTATGAAAATTGTGGATTTACAATAAAAGATGCCAAGCTGGAAAGTTAGATACAAAAGGCTGCTATTTTGTAGTGAAAGATTTTTGAGAGAAACATCAGACTTCCCCATTGCCATAGTAGCCTCCTGACAATTGGAGCAAATTGGCTGTGAGCCTCGTTGGGTGAATCATACAGACAATCCAGGTTAGAGTCTGTCCAGATGTGATAGTTTTCCTTCCATTCAGTGGGAAAGGACAAAGCCAAAAAATGAAAATGCATAATATATGCAGAAGTTTCTGTTTCTACAGAGATCCCTAAGTATAATAAAGTCCAAAAAGGAGTCATAAAATTTTAACTTTTAGCATTTAAGCAAAACTTTAAAAACCTTTGTTAATTGAAAAAAATATATTTGGCTCTTTTTTCTTTATCATTTCTATGTAGCATATGTGTGCATATGTACTAAAGTGCAAGAAAGCTACTGTATTGTATCAGTTCAGGAAAGGAATGTAATAGTCATCCCACTCTACCTCTCTTACCTTGATTTATAGCTCAAATATTACTATTCTTGGAACATAACTGCAGTTCTGGTGCTAAGAAAGTTGCAAGTGGGGAAAGAATGAGTCTACAGTCTTTCATCCTTTATAATGTTTGCACCCTTAGTCTGACTTTGCAACCCTGCCATCTAGTGTTCAAACATTCTCAATACTGTACTTTTGCTCAAGAAGTAATTCACAAGGAAGATAGCTTAAAAATTGCATTTGGGAAAGTACATATTTTGAATTTCTACATAGAGTTTTATGTGTACATCATTACTTTTTCATTTACTTATTGCATTTACCCATAAATATTTGATATATTCTATGTAGACATATAAAACATACTTTGTATATTGAAATATATATATATTTATTTTCTATTTTATTTTACATTCTTCTCTACACCTACCTGTAACTCTAACAAAATTCTCATTGATTTTGAAGGCAAAACAGATCCAACCAAGCAATAACAGTAGATTAGAAGAAAAATGTGGAAATAGATTATGGAGATATTTAGTGGCACTGTGTATCCAGACCTGGGCTATGGTTTTGCTGCTATTAGTGACAGCACTTCCATGGGTCACACATTCTCCTGGAGAGGAAGAGACAAACAGAGGGTTTGGATATGCATGAAATAGAGTGCATTATCAGGACACAACAGAAATACCACTGAATGCTGTGTCTTACCAGTGAGACTGTTAGGTCCATCTTGTAAAGAAAATCTGGAAATTATTTTTAGGAATTAATGAGGTTGGTTGCAGTCCACAAAAATGTTCTTTAGGTATGCTCTGTATCTTCTTTATATCTTTAAGATCATCTCTTCTACATTGCATTATAGCACATGCGGAACCTGTTGTGATAACAGATTCCAAGGTAGCACAGAAACCTCATCCTAACCACTATATTTTCCATAATACCCAGTATAAAGTGTTTACAACACAGTAGATTCCTGATACAATTCACCCATGAGTTCAAAATTGAGAACTGAGAGATACATTGTCCTGGCTCATAGAGTTTCACAGAGACTTGCCATCTGTGTCACAGTTTGGAATAAGAGAATATTCATCAGGCAGGAAATCCCAGGGCCTACACCCCGACTTCTTAAGGTGTAGCCCTCTGGCAGCTTAGCCCTCCTACAGATCAGCCTAAGAGTGCAGGGGAGCCCTCACTTCTCCCAGCACCCTCTGCTGCTCATCAACACCCTGCCAGCCCACAGGAATCAGTCAGCCTTTCACACTTCTGCTGCTTCTCCCTAGAAATGCATAAGCACCCCCCACCAAAGAATTGCTGCTCCTATCTTTACTGTCATTCATCTTCGTGGATTAATAGAAAATGAAGGCTACAAAAAACAAAGTATAAATTAATGTTTCAGTAAATTATCCTGCCACTCTGGTATTCAGCAGAGGATAAAAATAAATTATGTAAATTATACAAAGAACATGTTAAATTTTCATTGTTTATTTTCACAGCATTTCCCTTCTCTTTATAGAGGACTCTAAAATTCCCAACCATTTCAGGATATTAGACAAGCAATTAATTACGCTGAGAGTCAATCATCTTCAAAATGAGTTACGCTTAAAAAGTAATAGCATGTCAGGCTGGAGCTTCAGGTATTGCTAACCAATCAGCAATATCTTCTGAAAAGGAGTTCTATACTTTGAGAGATGGAGTGAAGATTTGGAAGTCATTAATTTTAACATATGAATACATACATGTATATTTGTAAACTGTATTATATTTTATTTAAGATGTGATGTATTCTCCTTGTTTTCCATAGCTAATACTTGCTTACCTCACCTATACACATTAGAAAAATGCTTGAACTTTTAAATATTTTCAGACTGCATGGAGGATTTGAAGTGTCCTTGAACACCCTTCTCCTCTCACTACGGTGGAATATACTAGCTGTTTCAGAATTGCAGAACATGTGCTTTTTTTCCCTGAAAATGGGATTGGCAGACTAAACTGCAGATGTGGATAGAATTTTGACACTCAGATATGTATTTGTTGAAAAACAAAGCAATGTGGTATAAAGTTCACTCCAAAGAATTCCTCCCAACTTCTCTTTCCCCAGCAACACAGACGTGCACACAGTGGCATCCCTTCTTAAGCTGTACCTCCGAGAACTTCCAGAGCCAGTGATTCCTTACGCAAAGTATGAAGACTTTTTGTCCTGTGCCAAACTGCTCAGCAAGGAAGAAGAAGCAGTAAGTTGATGTATTTATTTTCAAATAAGCCTTTCCTTGGGGGTTTTCTCAGTGTTTTAGTTTGTGATTCTCAAATTTCCTCTTGTGCTGTCCTTGGACTGTTTTCCACTTTGCTGTGTGTTGACATTACACACATCTAGACCTTCCACATACAATTTGAGTCCCAGTTTTGATCTACAGTTTGACCAAAAAGAAGAATTCTGCTGAATAAATGAAATCAGTATCCCTTGATCCTCTGCTCCCCTAAATGGTTGATTATGCTACTCTGTCAGGCTACGTGTTCTTTGAAAAATGCAAGTGCCTGGTTTCATAGCCCCCTTTGCATTGTGTGACCCCCAAATCACTTCAAACAATGACTTCCAGATAAATTCCTGCTTGTCTGTTTGATTAAATACAGCTTTATTGAGATGTAATTTATATAATCACACATTTAAAATGTCCAATTCGGTACTTTTAAAAATATTCTCAGAGTTGTAGAGCCATCACCAAAATCTAACTGTAGAACATATGAAACATTTTTATTACCCTAAAATAAACCCCAGGCCCTCTCTGGATGCTCTTCTTTCTCCAGCTCTTAGCAACTACAAATCTATTTTCTTTTCCTACAGATTGCCTATTCTGAATATTTCATATAAACAAAATCATTCAATATGTTTTTTTCTTGTGACTAGCCTTTTTCAGTTTTTTCAAGGTTTGTTCATGTTGAACCACATATGAGTATTTTGTTCTTTTTATTTCTAAATAATAACCATTTCTCATCCATTTATTAATTAAAACATATTTTTTGTCTTTCCATTATTTGGCTATTAGGAATAATGCTACTAAGAGTGCTCTTGTACCAAGTTTTGCATAAACATAGATTTTCATTTCCTGTGGGTATGCACCTAGAAGGTAGAATTTCTGGGCCATATGTAACTATGTTTTCCAGTGAGCCTTCACCATTTTAAATTCCTACCAGGAAAGTGTTCGTATGCCAATTCCTCTATCTATCTGCTGTCACTGTTTTCATCTGTCTTATTCATCATATATATCCTAGTGTGTGTGAAGTGGTATAACACTGAGATTTGAATGTCATCTTCTGTATAACTAATGATGTTGAATATCTTTTCATGTGCATATTGGCAATTCATGTATTTGCTTTGGAGTAATATCTTTTCTAATTATTTCCCTATTTCTAATTGAGTTACAGTCATCCAAGTTCCTTGGGAGATAGCTTTCAGGACACCCTGCAGATACCCACATCCATGAATGCTCAAGCCCCGCATATAAAATAGTGTAATATTTGCACATAACCAATGCACATCTTCTGGTATTCTTCAAATCATCTCTAGCTTGTGTGTAATGCCTAATATAAAGTAAATGCTATGTAAATAGTTGCTGTTCTATATTATTTAGGGAGTAAGACTGGAAAGAGAATGTATATGTATTCAGTACAGATGTAACTTTTTTTCTAATATTTTTAATCTGTAGTTGGTTGAATCCATCAGATATGGAGAGCCAACTGTATTTGCCTCACTAAATTGGAAGGCATTTATCAGACACATGATTCACAAATATTTTACCCATTCTATGGGTTGTTTCTTCATGTTTTTGATGCTGTCTTTTAAGACCCAAGAGTTTTTTCATTTTGATGAAGTCTAATTTCTCTATTTTTATTTTGTCACTGTGCTTTTTGTAGCATAGCTAAGAAGCCTCTATTTACTATAAGTTCAAAGAGATTTATTTGTATATGTTCTTCAGTGACTTTTATAGCTTCAGCTCTCACATGGATGTCACACAATTGATTTCCAGTTCTTTCTTGTTTGTAGTGTGACCAAAGGAGCCAAAGTCATCTTTTTGTGTGTGGATATCTGGGGTATCTCAGCACCTGTTGTTGAAAAGGCTATTCTTTCCCCTATTAGATTTTCTTGGCATACTTGTCAAAAATTGCTTCATAACTTTACAGATGCAATTTTATTCTACGTGTTACACAATATTGTCTGTGGCTGCTTTTGTGCTATAACAAAATAGTCTAGTAGTTGTGACAGAGACCATATGCAAAGTATTTACTATTTGGCCCTTTACACTAAGAAGAAACCTAATTACATTATCAATTGACTTTTCTGGAACCAGTTCCATGTTAGAGGAAGTTCTGCAATGGGAATAACCAAAACCATTAACTCCTGTGTAATTTGTGAGAAGATCAAGCCTTCCAGCCCACTTTCTACCTCAAATGATGTATCCTAGTCCAGAGACACTTATTTTTCACAAAGCTGTGTTTGTCTAAATTTCAAGCTTGCTAAAAAGGGGGAAAAGCCTCACCGCATCAAGACTAATTTTTTTGCCAAATAAACTTATTATAAATACTCAATTGAATAGCACTTACCATACAAAAAAGTAATATCTGTACTCAATGGTACATACACACTCAATTATTTATTTTGTTTTTGTTTTTTGGTACCGGGGATTGAACTTGGGTCCTTGCGCTTGCGCAGCAGGCGGTGAAACCACTGAGCTAAATCCCCGGCCCTACACACTCAATTATATGGCACTTGCCACTTGCTTTAATCCTCGGGCAAGTACAGAGAAAGATGACATTTATTCTATTCTTTGCAGGGTGTTAAGGAATTAGCAAAGCAGGTGAAGAGTTTGCCAGTGGTTAATTACAACCTCCTCAAGTACATTTGCAGGTAAGAACTTTTCTAAAGAAGCTAAACAAAACAATCTATAGTCAGCCTGACAATAATTTACACTTGACTATGAGTAAAATCACAAATTCCTCTGAACTGCTGTCAGTCTCTAGAAAACTAAGAGGTTTCACAAGGTGATTTCAAAAGTTTTCTGAGCACTAAGATTGCTTGGTTTTGTGATTTGAATGTGTTGCAATCTCTTGCCTCCACATACTAAAGACATGTTGCTTTGAACGAGCACCTGAGTTGTTTGTATCCTGTTCAGGAAGCAGTGCTGCTAGCAAAAGGAGCCTGTCCCTTATCTGTGAGGAAAGGGAGGTGCCGACCTGGACTATCTGCTGTCTGTGCACAGTTGTCTTATGATTCTACACTTCAGGGTCCTCACTGATACAATGGTAGCCAAAACCTGTATTTCCTACAGCATCTAGGAGCTGTAGAGTTGAACTCTATAGCCCAACACTGTGGAGTTCATGGTGAAGAGAATGGAGTAGGGAATCCAAAACCCCCCACCAGAACTTTCATTGATGATTGTTATGTTCAGGAAAAACTAAGACCTTAGGTTTCAGAATCTAAAAACCAAGAAATAGTTTCCTTGACAACATATACTTATTAACACATAAGGTTTTCATCCCAAGATTTCAAACTAATTCAAGTTCCTGGAGTAGGTTTAAAAAAAAGGTTACATCTTTAAATAGAGGTTATATCTTCTTTAAATAGAAGAGGGGAAAATACTTGTTAGAGAACAGTATGGCAAGTCTCTGTATCCAGAATATAAATATTTCATATCTCTTTGGAAACATTTAGGCAGTCTTCTAATTTAGTTTAATTTTGACTTTTTGCCTTCAGTCTTCTGTAGATCAGACCACACATATTACAGTACTGAAAATGTGAACATAGGGGCCTCAGCACCTCATAATGGAGACACACTACCTGGGTTCAAAGCTCAGCTCTGCCATGCATTGACCCTAGGTCCTCAATGTAGCTTCTTAACCTCTCTGGCATCTCTTCCCTTTCATCTATAAAATGGAGAGGGTAATAGTGCCTACCTCAGGGAAATGACTTCAGACTTCAGTCAGCATGACTGACACATATATAGCACTAGCTATATAAACATGTTATTTTTATTTTTCATCATTTCCTTTTAGTCTTTTGAGTACAATTAGCAATCCGTGAAGTAACAGAAGCTCTTGTAGAAATGAAGAGGAGGTGAGGAATGAAAAAAGATGACAGATTACAAAACCAATCTCTCCTGTTAGAATCATCCTGGGAAAGGATTGTTTGATGCCTTTTATTCTGTAGCACCTGATAAGTTGAAACAATTTGTGCTTGCAATTTTTCATGTCAGTAGAATTAATGCTTTTATTTCCACAATGTTTGATCTTATTTTTAATAGACTATAAATTTGAAGCTCTTATTCCTCTATGAAGAGAGTTTATTATTCCTCTATAAAAGAAAGAATGAAACAGATGATTTTAGAGACCATTCTTCAGTTGAACATGTGTATAAAATATTTTTGGGGGAGGCAAGGATTTAGCCCAGTGGTTCTGCCACCTGCCTTGCAAGCGCAAGATCCTGAGTTTGATTCCCAGTACCAAAACAAACAAACAAACAAACAATATTTGTTGGGCATCACTGGGAACGGAACCAAAGGCCTTGACACTGAACTGCCTCTCCAGCCTCTTTCCTTAAATTGTTTTATTTTGAGACAAGGTCTCAACTAAGTTGCTAAGTTTCCCAGGCTGAGCTCAAACTTGTGATCCTGCTGCCTTAGTCTCCCAAGTGCTGAAATTACAGGCACACACCATCACTAGCTAAACTCCATACTTTATTGAAGGATTAGGTCTGTTAGTCAACTTGCTGTTACTGTAACTAAGGTAATTGATTACCTGAGGTAATCAATTTTTTAAAAGGGAAGATTTATTTTGGCTTTCAGATTCAAAGGAATCAACCTATAATGGATTGGCCCTGTCACTTTTAGCCTGTGGCAATGCAACGTATCAGGGCAGGAGTTCATGGCAAAACCATTTACTTCATGGTTTTGAAAGAGAGAAAGAGGAAGTGAGTGGGGCCTCATCGTCTCCTCCAAGGGCAAACCTCAACCTCAATGACCAGAAAACCTCCCACCAGGCTCCACTTCTTAAAGTACCACCACTGCTCAATAGCACCATGGGCTGGGAACCAAGTCTTTAACACCTCAGCCTTTGGAAAGGATTTGTGCAAACCTCAGCAAGGGAAAACATGTCATTGACTCTTTATTCCATATCAACATTGCCCAGACACACTGGCTCCTTTAATTGACAAGGAAACCATGACAGGCAAATCGAGAACAGGTACCTGATATGATCCCTAAAGTTTCTTTCTTCGTAATTTGCAGTACTTTCTCTAAGTATAAATAAGAGATGTTTGAATTTCCAAATAATTTTGTCTGCTTAATCATCTTCAAACATAATGTACTTCAGTTCATAAATATCCCAACTACCCATTTTCATCCACTGATGAATTTAATCCCATTGTGTTTCAATCCTATCCTTGCAACCAATAGGTTCTTGGATGAAGTTCAGTCCTATTCGGGAGTTAACAAAATGAGCGTGCAGAACTTGGCGACTGTGTTTGGTCCGAATATCCTGCGTCCCAAAGTGGAAGATCCTTTAACCATCATGGAGGGTGAGTGAATGATTATCTCATGGCCTCATCAAAAGGAAAATCAACTAACTCTCTTAGTTGACTAGAATCCATTCTTGTCTAAACAAATTTTAAAAAGTAGTCAAGTTCATGAGAACTCCGTGTATTGATGCTCATTTATTCATTAAATGCAAACTTTTCTTTTGACTCTTAGCCATTTTGTTTGTTACTAACCATAAAATCATTCCCCAGTAGCCTTATGAGAACAAATAAAACTTTTCTAAAGAAATAAGTCAGCACTAAAATATTAGATGAAAGAAGTGAAAAAAAAGGTCTCTTTATAAGTCCTGAGCAATTTTCAGAAATTTCAATATTATTTTCAGTTAATATGTATTTATTAATCTGGTTTTCTTGTGACTGATTCCAGGAAGTAAAGAAATTGGATTCTTTTTAAGACAACACTGGCTATTTACTTGGGGGCTAAAACAAGAAGGAATTCTTGTAAGCAAAAGAGAAATGACTCAAATTGTTTTGGGTTTTTTTGGTACCAGGGATTGAATTTGGGACCTGGTGCTTGTGCAGCAGGCAGTGAACCACTGAGCTAAATCCCCAACCTCAAATTCTTCTCCACACTGAACTGCTCCTTCTGTTTAATTCCACTAGACTTAGTGCTTTTGTGATGTGGCCAGTGGGGCCATCAATGTTTTCTGCAAACTGGCCTAATTGACTTTAAAAACTTCATAAAGGAAAGAATAATTATTTTTCTTTCCTCTCTCTGTTTACTTAGAATAAAATATCATTCTCAGTTATATGCATTTTACTCCCTGACATTTTTCCTTTCCCGATAATTCCAAGATTTTCATTCCTCTAGATCGTGTGTGTGTGTGTGTGTGTGTGTGAGAGAGAGAGAGAAACGTTTAGGGTATATACCCATAACACTTCAGCCTGATTTCCTTTGTCTATTACTGAGAAACCTATAAATTGAGTATCAGATTTTTGGCAATACAATAGCTCAGAAAAATTAATTTCCATATGAATAGTTTAGCAGGCATTAGAAAATGTTAAAATTGGACCAGGGATTTAGCTCAGCAGCATAGCACCTGCGAGGTCCTGAGTTCAATCCCCAATACCAAAAAAAAAAGAAAGAAAGAAAATGTTAAAATTTAAGCTATAAAAATCTTAGAGATACTTTAGTTCATTGCTTTTAAAACCTTCATTATGAATTAAAATTTACAGGATAAAGAATATCCACACACACAATGCACACACATACACACAAACCTTAACATGTCCTATAAGACAAGAACTCTAGAAATCACCACCTACATGAAGGCAGACTATTTCCCTGAAGGCTTTCCTATAAACAGACCCAGTCACAATGCTTCTGTCTTTATGCTCAGACATTTTGCCACTCACTTCCTGTGTGTCTTTGCCTCAAAGACTTTGCCAGCCATTGCATTGTGTTTCTTCTTCCTTTACTTGATATCTTTTAAGAATCTTTTAGCTTATAGGATCTCCTTATCATTTGGAAATTTTGGTTATTTAACCTGTGGTTTCCCATAGTCTGAATTTTGTTGGTTGTATTTCATGGTGAAGTTTAATATATCCTTGTAACTTCAATGTTCTACAAGTTAGAATCGGGACCAAATTCATCTTTGATCTCCTTGGCATGAGTATAAATTGTAATGTGTTGTTAAATTGGCACTATAATGTTTATCTCTCTTTTTGTGAATTTAACACAATCCCTAACATTAATTCACTGGTAATTAAAATGACTATATTCTAATTCTATTTTTTCTATTTTTATTAGCTGTTGTAAAAAATACATAACAAAATCTATTATTGTGTTATCTTTAAGTATACAGTTTAGTAGTATTAAGTACAGTCTCATTGTTACATAACTATCACCACCATGTATTTAGGGTTCCTCTTCATTTTGTAAAACTCAAACTCTGTACCTATTCAGCACTAACTCCTCATCCCCATTGTCACCAAGCTCTCAGCAATCACCATTTACCTTCTGTCACTATGAATTTCCCTACAATAGGTAACTCAGATAAGTAAGATCATACTGCTAAATACTGCTGGAATGCTCTCCTTTACCAGTTTTTGAAATAACTAAATCAACTGGCAATATTCTAAAAGAGTGAATTCTACTTTTCCAATTATACATAGCATAATGAACTCAGGTAGTAAAATCTGTTTGCTGAACCAGGGCATTGTAATTATTACCCTATATTGAAGTTCACCCATATTTTCCCTTTTTTGGCCAGTGGAAACCTCTTCAGGTTGCCTTCTTAGTCCATTTGACATAACCTTAGTATTTTTAGATGGCATCATTTCTTTTCAGTATGACATTTCCCAGACTCATAATGAATTTCCTGTAGCAATTTGGAATTGGCCACTTTTCAAGGCATCCTAATTTCTCTTAGTGGAGAAATGATATTTCAAAGCCAAAATCTAAGTACCAGTGATACTCCTTGCTACTGGCTTGGTCATTGTTTCTAGATGTTTCAGTGGATAGTAGATTTAAATTCATATGCCCAAATACAATATGCTTTTTACATATAGATGTATATACACACATGCACACACATTAGGGAAAAAGTGCCTCAAAAGTTCATATCATGCTCCCAGTTCATAATCATGACTATATGCTTTTTATTTATTCTTTCTCTGTTACAATTTTATCATCTTCCTTTAAAATATTTCTAGTTCTCAAAGACATTAAAGATGACAGAATTAGAATTAATATATCTCATAATAATTTGCTCTACAGTATCATCACACACAATACTTTCAGAATAACAATATTAGTACTATAACACCAGTATGATTACTAAAATGTTTAAAAATTTTTAAATATGCTCTTCTAATACTCTTTTCATTATTTTAATATTTGTACCATATATACCCTGTAGAGTATATACATATATGCTATACTTTTTTTCCCTTTTAGTCCTCATTTAGCCACATATATACATTTTAATCATATTTTATATTATTATAATCCCCACCCCCATGTTACCATATTGCTATTTCTTTACCCCAGTGATTCTCAGCCCATGGTCCCCAGCACCCTGGAGGCCTCTGAGTTACATTCAGAAGGTCCACAGGTCCAAGTAAAATAGTATAAACTGTTTTCTGTCCTTTCACTGCACTAAGGTTTGGATTAATGATGCAGAAGCGATGAGAGGCAAGACAACTAACACCTTGACATGAATCAAGGCTATGGTGCCACATGGGGCCAGCATCATATCCTTCACTACCACCCAGTTGCAACAGAGAAGAAAATGCGAGTGTTACTTAGGAAGGTTCTTATAGACATTCAGTAAAAAATATTAATTGTATCAAATTGTATTAAATTTCCAATCTGAACATGTTTTTAATATTATTGGGGAAGTAACCAGCTCAATGTATAAAGCATTTTTCTGCATATTTTTTAAAAAGTAATATAGTGATTGATGCAGGAAAAAAATATTCGTGTGATTATTGGAGTACTAACTACTTAACTGCCTTTTCATTTTTCTTTTTTTTTTTTTTTTTTTTTTTGGTGGTACTAGGGACTGAGCCCAGGGCCTTCTCACTGAGCTACATCTTTGGTCCTTTTGATTTTTTATTGTGAGACAGGATCTTTCATGATCTCAAACTTGTGATCCTCTTGCCTCAGCCTCCTTCAAGGCTGGATTTACAGGCATGTGCCACCATGTCTGGCCCAGAAAACTCCATTTGCATATGAAAAGTGACTGCCAAACTATGGTTATTCAGACTTGACCATTAGGCAGATATATTGTCAAAAATGTATGATGTTAACTTTTCATTTCAAGAAGTACAACTACACCATGAACACCATAGTGAAGGGCCAAGCTGCTCACATCCTGGCAGCCAGAAAGCAGAGCAGTTTAGAAGGCGTGCAGGAGAAGAAGGGGCCAGGAACCAGATATAGCTGTAGTCACAGAAAACACATCGGTGGTTGCCACTGGCAGCAGGTCAGAACACATGATAATTTTTTTTATCCTAATTAGGTGTTTTCCCCAGGACTGTATACATTTGTCAAAGCTCATCAGATATCTCACAGATACCTGCAGACATGCAAAGCGACAAATGTATAAATTACCTCTTGCAAAAGAACAAATTGAAATTATATTGCATAGAATGCTGCCCATTTATGAATAATATATATATATTGCATTTTTTATAGTGCCTGGGTATCAAAATTGAATTCCTAGTCAATGCCTATGAAAAACAGTGACTACAATATGTTATTTAAATCAACCTGTATAAAATGATAGGAGTCAGGGGGAATTGCTGGATTGGGTAGCACAGTGGGACTCCAGAATCTGCTGGGACTCTGCATAATAGCCTGGTGATTATAACCACTCTGACCTCATTTGGGCTTAATGAACCTCATCAGCATTCTAAGGAAGAAAATGACAGGGAGGAGGGAAGAAAAAAGCAAAAAGATAATGCACACATATCCTCATCACTACCAACCTAGTCTCAGAGAGTCCCCTGCAGAGGACGGTCGCCATTTGTTATCACAGAGACTAGATGAAAGCAAAGCCTCCTGACACACAAGAAAAAAGGTTCTTAGTCTGCCAGGCCCTGACTCTCAATCTATAATTGTGGCAGATACAGTTTGTCGTGGCAGATACAGTTTGTCGTGGCTTTCACGCCTCATCATGGACACTTTGGAAAGCTGCTCTTCAATTAATTAAATGCCTCCCAGAGTTCTTTGCTATAATGGAAAGCAGGGATGCTTCAATGTTAATATTCCAGGGATGGAGAAAAGGATCATTTTCCCTAAGTACTAGTCGAGAGTCTCATATAACAGAAGCTAGGAGCCCTTGAAAGTATGTCTTTCACAATGGCAAATCATATAACAGAAACAAGTAAACAATGTCTTCAACAATTGCAGTGTTGACAGACATTTTTGCTGCTCTAAAATCTTTCATCAGAGTCACTGCATTGAAAATATGATTAAAATCTAGATACTGTTAAAAGAGGAAAGATGTATATACAATAAAATTAACTTCATGCAG